GAACCGCGACGGGGACAGCGGCCGCGGCGATGGCTCAAACGACAAGGGCGGGGACGACTGAGACAGCGACGGCGGGCGTGCGTCGACGCAGAGGCACGACGAACGACGGCGACAGCACGGGCGACGTCGGCTGCGGCACACGCGGCAGCAACGACCACGACCGACCGACCGACGTCGACGGCGGCGACGACCGCGGCGACGGCGACGATGACCTGCGGCAACGGGCAGGACGACGCTGACGGCGGCCATTGGAGAAGGACGACGGCGACCACCACGGCGAGCGCGGCGACATTGCAAGCGAGAGGGAGGTTTGAGGATGGGGAATGCAAGGGTGACAGTAGCAAGGGGCACCGAGGGTGAGACTGGCATACGGGGGAAGGAGCGGGGCGACGCTAAAGGCCGACGGCCAATTCTGAGACCTATAGGGGAAGGAACACAACGGCGGAGGCAATGTCACCCGATCCGCCCATCACCGCAGTGCCCCCCCATGCTGACGACCCCTCATCTGCGAATGCAACCATCGCGGCAAATTTCGCTCGGGTGCGAGACAAAACGGGCTCTGATAAGCAACAAAACTGGGCGCGCGCTCCCACCCACCCCCCTCAAACGGGCCATGCATCGCAGCGCGGTGTCCGCCACCGCGCCTCGAGGCGCGGAGTGGAGTGTCCCCACTCAAGCCCCCAAGGGTTCTCTACCCTGGACCACGCATTCTAATAGTCCAAGGGATGGGGCCCCAACTTCTCAAATTGCTCAGGTGCTCTCGCGCGCTCGTGGGCGCGCTCGGGCGCTCGTGGGGGCCCATGGGCGCCCTCGCGTGGATGCCCCAAGAGGCCAGAAGGCAAGGCGTGCCAAGCGGGCCCCAAGAAGCGCCCGAGGGGGCCCAAGAGGCCTCCCAGACGGCCCAATAACGCCCCAATGCGCCCAACATTGCCACAACACCGCCCACGAAGCTTCCAAGAGGCGTCGAGAGCGCCCCAAAATGCCTCCCAAGAGGGCCTCAATAAGCCAAAGCCATTGACGTTCAACATTGTGCTTGTCGATGCTGTGGGGGTTCTCGCCTGTTCGAGCCCCCGAAGCTCCAAGAAGGACCACGAGGCCCCAGAGACCGCCCCAATGCGGCCCAAGAGGCGCCCAAGAGGGCCCCAAGGCCGCCCAGGAGGGCCCCACAATTGCCCAAGAGGCGCTCAAGACGGCCCAAGAGAGCCCCACGACGGCCCGAAGAGGGGCCACGGAGGGGGAACAGCACCGACAATTCGATATTTCTGCTCCACGAAGCCCCCCAGGAAGCCCCAAAGGGGTCCCCAGGACAACCCAGGAGGCCCCCAAGAGGCCCCGCGAGGACCCCGAGAGGCAGAACAATAAACCCCAAGAGGCACCCAAACGGCCCCCCAGGGGCTTCCAAACTGCCTCCGAGACGCCCCCGAGGGGCACCCCACGATACCCCAACGAACATCCAAGAGGCCTCTAACATACAACCCAAGCACGGTGGCGGGATGGGCCGAAGGCCAATACGTTGTACAGCTGGACATTCGTGAGCCTGGCGCTGCAGAGGAAGCCAGCGCCAAGGCAACGCCTAGGCCGACTGCGCATCTCGGCAGTTGGGATAGCAAGCCAATGGCAACGCGCCCTACACGCACAACATTCCTGGGCGGGCTGCCGAGACCGCGCCTGGCCAGGGCCGCAAAGCCGTGCCTGGAACCACACATTGCCGTCGCAAGATGGGCGGGTCGGCCGCTGCCGGGCTTCGCGGCACGAGCGGCCGCCGAAATGCCCAGCCGCCCGATCTGCGCGGGAGGGGGCAGAGGCCATCGCAAAACCACGTTGGAAGCAGTAGTAGGCACAGCGGGATAGTTGGCGAGGGAGACGCAACTGTAGAGACGCGGGGGCGGGCGAGCGATGGGGTTCGGGGCATGGCCAGGAGGCAAGAAGAGTAAGACTGGGAGTGGCAGCGCGAGACTGCCCGCCATCACGGGGCTGGCCCCCCCCGCCTCCTACCCGATCACGAGGCTCACCTGCTGGGCTCCGGCTCTCAGCCCGCGCTGCCATCATCGAGGTGCATCGCGCGGGTCCGCTCGGACTGGCGGGGCGTCCAGCACGCCATTGGGAGTGGAATGCTCCGTCGAACCTGGCGAGCTGGAGGCGCCAGGTCGGCGGCCGCGCTGGCGACGGTAGTCGGGTCGCGACGGTGGGCGGGTTGCGGTCCTCCTTGGCCGACCCCATAGGCGGAGCCCATGACCTCCGAGCCCCGAGCCTCGTCGTCGCTGCTGTCCCCACTCAATGAATCGCCCCCGCCACGCACGTGCAATATAACGGCTGGGCGCTCTCCAGGATCAGCATCAGGTGAACGATAACGATGGTGCCTGCGCAACAGGGCGTCGACAAGGTCCCTGTGGAAGTGAATTTGCTCGACTGTGTGCTCCCAGAGCACGCGGTTCGTCCACTCGGCCCTGAGGCAACGCGCCTTGGACAGAGAAATGAGCGCCCGCGCCGCCGTCGAGCCCCCCCCCCCGAGCCCCTGGACGAGCCCCTCCCGCCCCCGCCCCCGCCCGACCCGATTCTGCAGGCGGCGGTGGAGGAGCTCGATCGGGGAACTCGGATCGGAGGGGGCGCTCCACGGCGACGTCGGCGACCACTACCCCCCCCCCCCTCCATCGTCACCGCTCCGCGGCCCGCGGCCCACGGCCCGCCCAGCCTGACGGTCTACCATCGTTCCCTTCGCCGCCCCCCCCCCCCCCCCGACTGAAGCGCAAACCTTCCACTGCTCGCGCGTAGGCTCCGCCGCGGCGTCGGCGTGCCGATGCCGAAGGCGCGCCCTGTACCCGATGCCGCCTTGCGCGGGCGCCGCGGCCCTGAGCGGCGTTGGCGTCCTCGAGCGCCGCCGCGCCAGCGCTGACGCGGCCCCGCCCGCCTGCGCCTGGGCGTTCCAGGGCACAATGGCCACCTCTCCGATATCAGACTGCGAGCGGCGCCCGCAAATCGAGGCGCGAGTCGAACCGAGACGGCCGCGGTGGCGGAAATTAAGCATATGGGCGGGGTGCTTAACAGACAGAGCGAGGTACGGGTGATGAACGTTCTGGCGGGGCGAAGCCCTAAATGGAAGGGCCCAGGGGAGGGGCGAGGCGGCGGTGGATGGATGCAATGGCCAGCTCCCCCCCCTCCCCCCCGAGGCGGGCCAAGAGGCGCCCGATACGGGTGAAGAAACGCCCAAGACGGCCCAATATACCCTCAAGAGGGGGGTTCCAAGAGGGCTCCAAGACGGCACAAGAACGCTCCAACAGACCCACAGATCGTCCAAGAGCGTTCCAAGATGGCCCCGCATGGCCGAACGACAGTCCAAGGGGGCCCCGAGACTGCCCAGGGGGGCCCCGAGACTGCCCAAGGGCTTCCAAGGGGTTCCCGACGAGGGCACCAAGAGGCAAAACCATTGATTGCTCAATTGTGTTTGAAGGTTTTTGTGGCCCGCGCCTTTTCGGGCCAAGAACTGCCCCAAACGGCCCAAGAGGCTCCAACGATCGCCTCAATACTGCCCAAAAGCCCCCCCCCCCCAGGCGGGTGCGCACTCCAGCCCCCGACACGAACCCACATGGGCATGGAACTCAGGCGCAACTTGCCCGATCTAACGCGCTACCAGGAGCGGTCCAAGGATGCGCGCTCTCCTCCGAGGCGGTCCTCAAGGTGGAGCGGGACAGTCAAAGGCGCCCTCCTCGTCCCAATGCAACTCGCAACCCGCCCCCCTCTAACGCATCGTATCGCACTCAACGCCGCATCGGGGCACCCCCAGCGCCCCTGCGAGGGCACCCTTTCAAGATCTGAAAAGGGTGTGCGAGCGACAAGACTGATGACACCCGTCCTCATAGCGCTGCGTGTTCGGGCGCTGGTCAAAGCAACTCGCCTGGGAATCGTTGCCCCGTGGGCTGACGGCGGTGCGAAAAGCGCCGACACGGCGGCCTGCCAGGAACTGCGAGGGGGCGCAGGGGTGGGGGGCTGGGCGAGGCCCTTCGGGAAGACGGAGGGCGGGGGACATCATGGGGGCGATGCGCGAGGTGCCGCGACGCGGGGGGATCGCAACGTAGGACAGCGAACGATGGTGCAGGGGCGTGGGCGACAAGGAGGGATACGGCCCGCGCGCGGGCGAAAACGCGCGATCCTTGAAGCGGTCATGCTCGCTCAGGAACTCAGACCGCGACACCTTGATCGACTTGGCGGACCTGATATCGTCGAGAACTTCGTCTGCCGTAGACTTGTCGAACATGTCCGTCACCCATTCGATTCCGAGCAGGTCCTCGAGCCCGTCGACATCGTCAAAGTTCGCCATGCGGGCCGCCAAGACCTTCTCGATCTGCCCGGGGCCGCAACCAGGCCAGATGTTCTCGGCCATCGACTGGAGGAGGCCAGCCATCGTCGTGGACGAGTACTGCCACTCCATGGCGTCGCACACGTCCTTCAGGTAGCTCGCGCTCAAGGAGAAGAACCCCTGCTCGGCCATGCACTTCATCAAAGGCTGGGGGGGGGAAATCATGGACACTCTCACCATCTTGTTCCCGTGCTCGCGGCTAGCCTCGGGCGGCAACATTCCGCCCTCCTCGCCCCCGCTTCATCTCATCCGTGCGCTCCTCGCCCTTCGCCCTCCTTCATAGGCAACCGATCCCCCTGCCCCCATTCCAACCTGCCTTGCCCCCCCCCCCCACCGCCCCCCCCCCCCCCCCCCACCCCCCCCCCCCCCCCCCCCCCCCCCCCCCCCCACCACCACCACCCCCCCCCCCCCCCCCCCCCCCCCCCCCCCCCCCCCCCCCCCCCCCCCCCCCCCCCCCCCCCCCCCCCTCCCCCCCCCCCCCAGAACCGAGTTCCCACCTCACCCTGATCCTCCGCTCTCCACCACCACCACCACCACCACCACCACCACCCCGCCCCTCCCCCCGCACGCACCTCCAACCGATCGCGCCGCCCTCCTGCGTCTCCCTCATCCACCCCCCCATACTCCGCCCCCCCCCCCGCCACACCTTAAGAAACGTCTCCCAAGCCTTCGCGTTGACCTCGGTGGCCCCCGTCGTCGCGCCCGCGAGCTGGTGGAGCTCGCGCTCCACCGCCTGGCGAAGCGGCGAGTCGAGGCGAATAGGTGCTGCGCTCCACTCGGACGGGTCAACGATCACGAGTAGCTTCATCTCCGACTTCGCGCCGATGATGAAAATGTCGTCACGGGCGCCGTCGGGCACCAGCGGCCAGGTCACGGCCAAGCTCCCCTCCAACGTCCCCATGCCAAGATGCCAGGCCCTGTCCCTCTCGGAGATGTGCTGGATGGCCACGCCCTGGTGCACCAAGCGGCAGAAGAACTTCTTGTCGACGGACCCCATCTTGTGCTGCTGCTTGCACTGTCGCAAGACCTCAATGCCCGCGTGGGGCGCAAACATGCCCCGTGACCCTGGGCTGTACCATGATGGTTCTCCAAACCCCGCCACCTCCCGCAGCTTGAGCGCCTTCGTCTGGTCGTCGAGGTGTCTCTGCTGCAACCTCGGCTTGAACGTGGATGGCGCGAACGCGCTGTTCCTCGCAACCGACCCCGTGCCAACCTCGATGGGCTTGAAGTTGTGGACCGATTCGATCACCTTCGCGTCGATGCAAGTGGCCATCGTGGCGGGAGCGCTGGACATGGTGTTCTTCTGGCAGTCCACTCTGCCCTTGGCCTTGTTGAAGCAATCCTCGACGATTTGGCTCCCGATGATGCGCGCGCACTTGGCCTTGATATGCTCCAGGAGCCTGTGCGGCGCGGGCGGTGCGAGCGCAGCCGCGGCCCCCGACCCTCGCCCGTCCGAGCCCGAAATCGCGCCACCCACCCGCGCGACCTCCAACCATGGCCCAAACCCGACACTGCCCACCCGCCCCGCCCACCGCCGAACCTAACCCCCTTCCGCCTAGCCGCTGTGTCTCCCCGCCCACCCCAACAACTCCTACCTGCCACTCATCGGCGCGTCCGCGCCCATGAGGCGGAGGGCGGAGGGGGGGGGGGGGGCGAATGGGCGACGGCGGCGACGAGGGCGACGGACGAGCAAAGCGGAACGAGCCTCTGCGTCGGCGTCCAATCCTCGGCGTCTAGCACGGCCTTCAAGTGCTTTACGCTCATCTTCATGAAGAGGCTCCTGGACCTCATCTGCTCGGCACCTGGGAAGGCCGCATCCTTCAGCTCGCCGAACAGAGCGAGGTCGCCCTTGAACTCCCGCAAGAACTTGGGGCGGAGCTTCGGGCATAGCAACATCACCTGGCGCCTTGGGTACCCATGAGTAAAGGGCATGCCGCGCCTCGCGTGCTCGACGCACAACGCCGACACCAACGACAACATCCTGTTCGCCGCGACATCCGAGCGCACGACCCGCGGATGGTCGAGGAAGAGCTGCTGGGTCGGCCACGTGGTCTCGATGCCCATCTCGGCGTAGAGCTGCCTGGTGTTCAATACCTGAACGCTCAGCCTCATGGGCATGTGAATCCCCCCGCGCAGCATGTTGAGCTCCCAAGGGATGGTGGCATCCTGCGAACGCAGGCCAGCGTTCTGCCTCGGAGCGGGGACAGCAGGGGGGTAGCAAGGATGGGGCTGGTGAGCAGCACTGCGCCAGGCCCGCTGCAAGAACGAAGCCGCGACAGGCCAGGCACGATGACGATGGCCCGAGGGGAACCACGCTGGGGGCACCATGATGACAATGCGACGCAGTCAGAGCCACGACGACGAAGCCACGAAGACGACGACACCACCGATGCCCAGAACCTCCCCCCCCCATCGGGGGCGGGGCGCCAACGTCGACCCCAGAACAGAGGGTCTCCCCCCCCCACGCGTCGTCGTCACCTCCCCACCCCCCCCAAAAAAAAACTCCCCGCATCCTCCGCCACGCCCTCCCCATCGTAATTGGTCGCGTCTATGTGGGCCACGGATGCGCGCCAATGGAGGCACGCGGCCAATGGTTTCCCAAACAAAAAACATATGGGGCCCCCGCTGGCCTCACCTGAAAATAAACGATGACCCACGCATTCGGCACGCATGGCGGGGGCACCGCCGTGGCGTTGCGCGCGAGGTGGGGCACGCGGGGCCAGCGAGCGGGCCAAATCCCTCAATCGGGCACCAACGGGGCCGACTTGCAAGCCCAAGCGGGCCTCCCGTGAAACTCAGCCGTGCTCCCCAGCACATTCACGAGCATCTTCATGATGTGGTAGTTGCTGGCGTCGCCGTAGAGGTAGGCCGCGCGGTCCAGCTGGTTGGCGCACTGCTCCCCGAAGGACATAGCCGACGCCTGCCTGAGCGTCAGCTTGCTGGCGCCCTCGGGCGCGGCGACCTCGGGCGCGGGAGGCGGCGGCGGAGGCTTCTTGCGATCCGCGCCCTTGAAGCCCAAGCTGAGCGCCGCAACGTTGGTCAGGTACGCTTTCAACCCGAAGAGCTCGATGTTTTTCCCCGCTGCTTGCACGGGCCGCTGGAACTTCCCCATGTGGATGCGCTCACCCTTGCTCGTCAACAGCTTGTGGGCGTGGAGCCCGCGCCAGAAGCGCTCCACGGCGTCGTCGGTGAAGAGGTCGACCTGTCGGAGGGAGGAGGGGGAGTGGTGGGGTGATTGGGGGGGAGGCAGCGGGCGTGCCAGACGCCGTCGAGAAAGGGGCGTAAATGCGGCGATCCCGCGGGGCGCTTCGGAGGATCCTGCTTGGGGCGGCTGGTGGCGCCATGCGACCCCACCCCCAGAATGAAACGGCGCCGCCGTGGGTGACGACCATCCCTCCGCCAGGGGCCCTTGCGCGGCCGCCGAGAAGGGCCCTCGGCACTCCAACGGGCGAGCAGGATGACCATCGACAGCCCCAGGGCGGCCCCAGGAACGGCAGCCCGACTCTCAGAACACCGAGCCCCCCCTGGCACGTCAAGCTTGCGTTGGCCAAAACTGGCGCCACGAACTGGAGCGGCAATCCTCGCTAGGCCGCAGGAACCCCCGCACGGGGCCGCCCGCAACCGAGAATGGGGGACTCGCAAGTGCTCAGGAGTGCCAAATGCAGCCCCAAGGGGACTCGAACACAGAAAAACACGAACATACATGTATACGCCCAAGCGGCACTTATCAAACAAACCGCCCGCCTGGGCAACGCACGCGCAAGGCAGTGCCGCGTGCGCGGGGCGGGGGGGGGGGGGGGTGAGCGAGCAACCACCAACAAGTGTCATCGCTCCTCATCGGGCCCCCGCGGGGGAGGGGGGGGGGGGGCGAGCCCTTTCGAAACCCGCCGGCGCGCCCATCTCGGCAGCGCGCGTTTCGAATGGAGCCCCCCCCCCCCCCCCGAGGCCCTGAAGGGATGGCCGCAGAAGGGCCCCGCTAAGCCACGCAGAGGGCGCGGGCATGCGAATGTGGCGGGGGCCCGATATGGACCCTCTGACGGGGATCGAGGCGTCTGCATCGGCGCACGCGGTTTGTCTGGGCGGGGTGGGGGGGGGGGGGGCGGGCGGGGGAGCGGGCCGCTATCGGCCCGCTCGCCGCACCCCGCCTTGATATCAGTCGCCCCCTCCCCCCCCCGCACCCACCCCCCACCCAACTCCCCAGCCGCGTGCCTCGTCGAGTCATTTCCCCAAGCCCCCCCCCCCCCCCCCCCCCCGCCGACGCGAACGCTCGCCGCCCTTCCACGGCCCGCGGCGCCGTCACAACCGCCACCCGCACTGCAAGCCCTGCCCACCCACCCGCCCTTACCCCCGCCCCGCGCTCCGCCCCCTGCGACCCCGAACGCCATGCGCCTGAGCTCCCGCCCACCCCGCCACCCGCAAACATAGTAAACGGCGGTCCTGCTTCATTTGTTTCCGCATCCACGGGAGGTGTAGCTGGAAGAGGTGGTCGTTGCGGGCTGAGACGCACGCGGCCTGGCGCTGTCGAACAGTCTCCTGAATTTGCGCCAGCCGAGGGGGGGGGGGCAACGTGCCCCCGTGCACGCAGTTCGCCGCCGCGCACATTATGACGAGGAAGCGGTACAGGCCAGAGTTCCTGGGCGGGCCCGAAATCGCAAACGGCGCGGCAACGCGCTGGGGCCAAGGGGGCAGCCGCCCGCCACGAGCAAACCCTGGTCACGCGACCGAAGCACGGGGCGACGCTGCGCCCGCCAAGTGGTGAGCAATGGCCCCTTAACCCCAATCAGATTGCGAGGGCCCATCTACGGAAATGGAGCCCGTGTCTCCTCAGGGAGCCCTTAGTCGTATTGCTCAGCATATGGGATATCTCATAATCTACTTGAATGTTCAGGTCGGGGACCCCGTAGGATAGCCAATGATCGAGGCAGCTCATGTCGGGGCCAGCGTCTGGAGATAACGTGAGAAGAGGCCAGAGGAAAGGGTCTCCCAAGTAGCGCCCAGTATCCGCCGAACGGGGGATCTTAAAATTGGAAAGCTGGGTGCCGCAGGAGCCGCGCAGGATATTGTCAAGCATCATGACCATCTGGAAAGTTTTGACCCTCTTGCGGCGCTTCGGGGCAGGCGCCGCATCGCCCTGTTCAAGGACACAACCCAACTTGCGCTTGACTGCTGTCCTATGCGGGTCACGAGAAGCCGTCGTCGTCGTTGTCGTCGTCGTCGTCGCTGCCTTCGTCGTCCTGAGGGGGCGTCGTGGCTATCGTCGTCATCCTAAGGCATCGTCGTAATCCGAATGCATTGTCGTGGTCCTCGTCGTCGTCATCTAAACGGAACGCACACGCCACTTCCATTAACGAGTAACGACGACGACGTCCACGACGACGACGACGACCACGACGACCACGGACCACGACGACGACGACGACGACGACAACGACGACATCGACGACGACGACGACGACGACGACGATGATCTCTTCCCTCCTGGCCAACACCCCCCCTACTATCCTGAAATGCGCCCTGTGCTGCTGCTGGACTGCCTGCACGGCGACCTCGTTGTCGAGGAAGGCTCTCGGGCCGATCGGCGACCTCGTTGTCGCAGACTGTCTGGGTAGGCACCTGGGCCGATCGGGGGCGGGTGGCGCGCGCGAGAGGCGGGGGAGAAGCGTCGCGAAATCCCCGCGAGGACGACGACGCCCACGAGGCATGATGGGGGCGAGGAGCGGCGGAGGGACGCGGGGAGCAAGGGGGAGGGGGCAGGGCGGGCAAGGAAAAGCGGCGCAAAGGGCGGGAGAGGGGAGGAGAGGGGAGGGGAGGCGAGGCGCCCAGAGGGGACGCCAGGGGCGAGAGGGGAGGGCGCGGGAGAGAGGGGATGGAAAAGCGCGGGAGGGCGGCGGAGGCACGGAAGGGACAGGGCGGGGACGGAGAGAACGGGCGGACGGAGAGGAGGGGGGGGGGAGGGAAGGGCCCGACCCAAACGCGACAAAGTTGCTCCACTCCGCCCAAAAAAATGCCCAGGGGCTTCGGGGGTCAGTTTTTCTGGATGGGGGGAAGTCTCGAGCGGGAGCGCCCCCCGCAGCCGGAATCTAACCCCCACCCCCGGCCCCGGTAGGCACGATTTCGGCGCCAGAAATTGGCCCCTCGAGGGCCGCGCCCAGCCTGGCACCGAGCCCCCGCCCCCCGACCTGAAAAAACGCGCTCCAAGCCGAGCCCCACCAGGACCGAGATCCCCAGGGCCGAGATCACCAAGACCGAGATCCCCAGGACCGAAATCCCCAGATCCGAGACACCCAGGACTGAGATCCCCAGGACCAAGATCCCGCTCCGAAAGACCAATACCCCCAAAACCGAAAGCCCCACGACTGAGCAAAGACGACGACGGCGACGACGACGTCGACGACGACGACGACGACGACGCACGACGACTACGACGGCGACGACATGTTTCCGAAGCGCTTATGTGCGGCCGCACGCGGCCGAAGGATCTGCGGCGCGCACCGTCGGGCACTGGTGGCGCGCGCCGTCGGCTCTGGCAACTCAGCCCGCCAACGTCGCCTATGGCTTCGGCGTGCCGCCCTCCGAGCCGACGTCCTGCCACGACTTCGAGGTCGACCCGCGAGACGCCTCGCTCGGCCCATCCTTGCCGAGCGCGCGACCCGCCTCGAAGCCCGACTTGAACGCCGATGCCACCGCCTGGTCGTATGCCTCCTGCTGGGCCTTCTTCTTATTATTCTTCGGCTTCTCGTCGAGGACGCCAATGCCCTCCTGCTTCTTCGAGGTGGCGCCCTTGCACAGCTCGAGCGACTCGGGCTCGGGGCCGTCCGAGCCCATGCCGAGGCCGCCGAGGCTGCTCGGGTAGAACTTGTGCTCGTAGATCTCCACCGCCACCTGCTGCTCGTGGGCCTTCTGGGCGCTCTCGTCCAAGTCGCCGACCTCGATATTGGGGTCGCACCTCGTGCGCTCGCCCGAATACGCCACAGTGAGAATCAGCACCGTGCGATCGTGGACGAGCCAGTCGTTTTCGATCTCGTGGACGGGCTCGGGCTGCTCGTTGATCACGAAACTCTCCTTGGTCACTTTGCCCACGTGGAGCGTCAGGTAGCTGATGGCCTGCTCGTCGCGCCCGAACTCCGTGCCGAGTGACGAGATCTGTCACAGCAACTCCGTCTTGACCTGCTTTGCCGTGGGGCACGTCCA